GTACTTTGGGCCAGAATGTTTGGGCCCAAAGAATTAGTTTTCAGATAGCAGTCTTTAATGGTGGGCACAACTTCCATGGGGCCACGCCCACCTTCACCCAAATATTTTCATTCTTAATCTTCCAACGTAGTATGCCCGCATATCCGTCTCAACATTCTCATTTCTGCTACTTTCATCTTCTAGATATGAGAATTCTTGACTGGCCAACACTCTGCCCCATACAACATGGTTGGTCTAACCACCGCTCTATAGAACTTACCTTTAAGTTTTGGTGGCACATTCTTGTGACAAAAGATACCGAATGCTAACCTCCATTTCATCCACCCCGCCCTTAATACGGTGCGTGACATCCTTGTCAATCTCCCCATCTTCTCCCTGTATAACTGACTCAAGATACTTGAAACTTCCTCTCTTGGGGATGACTTATGAATCAAGCCTCGCGTCCATGTCAGCTTCCTCCGTCACGTCGCTGAACTTACATTCCAAGTATTCTGTCTTAGTCCTGCTCAACTTGAAACCTTTAAATTCAAGGGTCTGTCTCCAAACCCCCAACCTCTCGTTAACACCGCCTCGCGTCTCATCAATCAGAACTATATCATCCGCGAATAACATACACCATGGCACATCTCCCTGAATATGGTACGTTAATGCGTCCATCGCCAAGGCAAATAAGAACGGTTTGAGCGTAGATCCTTACTGTAACCCCATAACAACCAAACAATGCTTAGAGTCTCTTTCCATTGTCCTAACCCGAGTCTTAGCTCCATCATACATGTCCTTCATCACCCTAGTATATGCTACCGGAACACCTTTAACCTTCTGACATCTCCAAGGAACCTCCTTAGGGACCTTGTCATACGCTTACTCTAGGTAAACATCATGTGCAAATCCTTCTTCCTATCCTTGTACTGTTCCACCAGCCTCCTAATAAGACGGATAGCTTCCGCAGTTGAACGATCATGCATGAATCCGAACTGGTTCTCGGATAGAGACACTGTCCTCCTTACCCTCACTTCCACCACCCTCTCCCAAACATTCTTAGTATGACTAAGCAACTTGATACCCCAGTGGTAATATGTCACTTTTGTCAAATAATTGTTTATTCACAATCTCTTCCCAATGATACTTTAGCAAATGAAGTCTAAACAAAAGCAAAAGGAGTTGGACAAGCTAATCACATGTCCTCTGTCACTTTAGATTCTATTTTTTATGTCCCCGGTTGTCCTTTAATCTCGCATCTGTTAGTCATTTGACTCGTGAATTCCATTGTGATATATATTTTATTGATGATTCTTTTACTATGCAGGACCGCAGTACGGTACAGACGATTGGCACATGGCGTGAATCACAAGACCTTGACTATCTTAACTCACTCAATCCCTCTACAACATGTCCAACTACAGATCCTCTAGACCTAATTCACAAACGTTTAGGACATCCGAGTTTATCCAAGCTTCAGAAGATGGTGTCTGGTTTGTCCACATTAGATTGTGATTCGTGTCAACTTGGGAAATATATTCGAGCTACATTTTCACGTCGTGCTAAGAGTCGTGTAGAGTCTGTTTTGTCTTTAGTTCATTATGATATATGGGGTCTTAGTAGAGTCACAACCTTAAGATTTGGATTTTGTTAGTTTCATTAATGATTACTCAAGATGTATTTGGATTTTCCAAATGAAAGATCGTTTTGAGTTGTTTTCAATATTCTAGAGTTTTTATGCTGAAATTAAAACTCCGCTTGGTGTTTTTATTCGCTTTTCGTAGTGATAATGCCTTAAAATATGTATTCTCTTAGTTTCAATAGTTTATGACTTCTCAAAATATTATCCTATGTCTGTATACTCCTCAACATTATAGGGTAGTAGAGAGAAAGAATAGGTATCTCATTAAAACTGCTCGCACACTTCTCATTCAGTCCTATGTTCCACAACGTTTTTGGGACGATGCAGTTCTTACAACCTGTTACTTAATTAATCGGATGCCTTCATCTTCCATCTAGAATCAGTTTCCACACTCAGTATTGTTCCCTAGGTCATCTTTATACTCTTTCCTCCTAGTGTTTTAAGGAGTACATTTGTTCATAACTTAGCTCCTGAAAAAGATAAAATAGCTCCTTGTGTTCTCAGGTGTGTCTTTCTTGGCTATTCTCGGGTTCAAAAGGGGTATCGCTGCTACTCACCTGATCTTCGTAGATATCTTATGTCAGTCGATGTCACATTTTTTGAGTCTCAACCTTACTTTACTTCATCTAATCATCTTGATATATCTGAGGTCTTACCTGTATCTACTTGTGAGGAATCTATTGTTCCTCCTCTTAAATCCACATCAACATCACAGGTACTCCTACCTATACCGACTTCTGAGGAGTCTACAGTTGCTCATCCTACATCTCCAACCACGAGGCCACCACTCTTGACTTATCATTGTCATCCACGTCTAGTGCGGACTTGGCTCCTCCTAGTCCACTGATTGCACTTCGAAAGGGTGTATGATCCAAACTTAATCCTAGTCCCCATTATGTTGGTTTAAGTTATCACCGCATCTCATCACCCTATTATGATTTTGTATCATCTTTGTCCACTGTTTCCATTCCTAAGTTTACAGGTGAGGCACTATCTCATCCAGGATGGCGACAGGCTATGATTGACGAGATGTTTGCTTTACATGTGAGTGAGTGGTACATGGGAGTTTGTTCTCTTCCTTCAAGTAAGTCTACTGTTGGTTGTCGTTGGGTTTATGCAGTCAAAGTCTACCTGGATGGCCAGGTTGATTGGCTCAAGGCTCGTCTGATTGCAAAAGGATATACTCAGCTATTTGGGCTTGATAATAATGACACTTTTCTCCCGTGGCTAAAGTCGTATCTGTTCGCCTTTTCCTGTCCATGGCTATTGTTCATCATTGGCCTCTTTATCAGTTGGACATAAAGAATGCCTTTCTCCATGGTGATCTTGAGGATAAAGTTAATATGGAGCAACCACTTGGTTTTGTTGCTCAAGGGGAGTCTAGAGGTATTGTATGTCACTTATGCAAGTCTCTATGGTTTAAAACAATCTCGTCGAGCCTAGTTTCGTAAGTTCAGGACAATTATTCGGGAATTTGGCATGACTAATAGTGAAGCTGATCACTCTGTATTTTATCGGCATTCTGCTCCTAATCTCTGTATTTATCTGGTGGTTTATGTTGATGATATTGTTATTACTCGCAATGATCAGGATGGTATTACTAATTTGAAACAACATCACTTTCAACACTTCCAGACTAACGACCTTAGCAGATTGAAGTACTTTGTAGGTATTGAGGTCGCTCGGTCTAGTTCAGGTTGTTATTTCGCAAAGGAAGTATGCTTTAGACATTCTTGAGGAGACATGAATAATGGGCTGCAGAACTATTGATACTCTTATGAATCCGAATGCTAAGCTTCTGCCAGGATAGGGGGGAGCCTCTTAGCAATCCTGCAAAATATAGGCGCCTGGTTGGAAAATTGAATTACCTCATAATTACTAGACCTGATATTTTATTTCCTGTGAGTGTTGTAAGTCAGTTTATGGAATTTCCTTGCGATAGTCATTGGGATGCAGTTGTTCGCATTGTTCGTTATATAAAATCAGCTCCAGACAAATGACTAATATTCGAAGATCGATGCCATGAGCATATTGTTGGACGCACAGATGCTAATTGGGCAGGGTCACCTTCTGATAGACGTTACGTATCTGGATATTGTGTTTTAATAGGAGGTAATTTGTCTCTCGGAAAAGCAAGAAACAGAATGTAGTTGCTCGATCTAGCGCAGAAGCCGAATATCGAGTCATGACTCTTGCACCATGTGAGCTAGTTTGGATCAAACAATTGCTCAAATAATTAAAATTTGGAGCAATCAGTCAGATGGAACTTGTGTGTGATAATCAAGTTGTCCTTCATATTGCATCAAATCCAGTGTTCCATGAGAGGACCAAACACACTGAGATTGACTGTCACTTCACGAGAGAGAAGATTCTCAGGAGATATTGTTACAAAGTTTGAGAAGTCAAATGATCAACTTGCAGATATTTTCACCAAGTCCCTCACTGGTCCTCGTATTAATTTTTTTTTGATAAGGTAAATTGTATTAATCAAAAGGGAGATAACTCCCGTATACAAGAAGTATACCAAAAAGTAGAGAAATTAATTATATATGTAACAAGCATATATATAATTTATATGCACTAGCTTGAGGGATAGTGTTAGAGTTAGTTCATGTATAGTGTCCCACATTTATATAGAAGGCTTTAGGTTTATGTAAACATTGTATATAAATAGGGCTATTGTAAAACACTTAGCATATATCAATAAAATATTTCTCCTGTTCCTTTATTTCTCAAGGAGATTACCCACTAAACTTACTAATACATTTTTATTCATAGTAGGGGGTCAGAATTTGGACGACTAACAGTAGTTCTACCGGTTGGAAAAATCATCCGCAAGGAGGCAATCCATGAAAACTAGTTAAAGGACGGATCAATAATTTTATTTCACGGCCAGGTCATTTTCTAGTTAAATTTTCTCCCTCCGGCTCAAATTGAATGTCCACTTTCCTTTTGTTGGTTGTTAGAAAGTAATGCGAATTCAGATAACAAATGTATATACACACAAATAATGAAATCAGGTCCCCTTTTCCTATTCCTATAGAAACTGTCTCCTCCATCCTAAAAGATTCAGGAAGTAACTATTGACTCCAAAATACTCCGTGCTTAACTTTGAAAGTCACATATTCCCTTATTTAACATTTGATGATACAACCTTCCATTTCATCTTAAGATTCTGCCGAGTCAAAAAGCACATCAGAAAACAACCTACAAAACTAAAACAATATATATAATCCTAAAAATTCAACAAAGAAATATCCAGCCAACCCTGTTTTACCAGTTCTACTGTGTAAAACTTATAATTAGCTTCATTTCATGCTAGATCAATTTCCCTTATTTTTTCATCAGTTAAGAATATTGAAATGTACCAAGAAGCTACCTCCTGGAAATTGCCCTCTGTTCTTGGCAACTTGCTGTAATTCTGGATATCACCAAGTGTCAGCAGACCAATGAGAAAATTATTTTCATCAACTATTATTGCACAAGATTGCTTCTCAGCTAGCATGAGGGATATGGTCTCCATTAGCAAGGTGCTCATTAGAACTGTCACATATCGTGTTCTCATTGCCTGTGAAACTAGAATTGTCCTTGCCAAATCATTTTCTTCATCATCAGATTCATAAAGACAGAGGGAACTCTCAAGTTTGCAGAGGTTACTCTCTTTCTGTGAAGGTGAACCTGAAGAATAAGTTAAACTAGAAATGTTGGAGAAAGAAGTTCCTTGTCGCTGCATCATGTGGGCTCTTGCATCTTTTAGTTTTTCTCTATCCTTCACTACACTTTTCCTTGTTTGTCCAGATGTAACCCAAGAAGACAACCCCACAGCTCCCAAGAGGGGCAGAACTATCCGATAATCCTGTGTCAGTTCAAAGAGAAGCAAAACCGCAGTGAGAGGCACCTGACAGACACCAGCAAGAGTAGCAGCCATGCCAACCTGTTAAACGATGTCTTCCAAAATCAAAAAGAACCCAAAATTGAGGTCAAACAGTAAGATTAACAGTAAACTCATGTTGCAACACAGAAATACAATATAGACTTCAGAAAAGATTGACCAAGACAGATGCTACATAAGCACAGAAGGATAAAGGTAAGGAACATCCATAAAATTCACGCAAACACTGGTGTGCCCATGCTTTGGTTATGCTTTGACCAACTCAAGGTAGTCATAGTTTGGGAACTTTTTTTTTTTGGTGAAGAGATATTATAAATGGCACCAAGAAGATGCAAAAATAGGAAAACAAAAGAGTTTGCTAGCTCCAAAACAAAGAGTCCTATACTAGGGTTAATGAGCTACCAAAGTCGAAAAAAATGTATAGGGGAATTTACAGGTGTTAGGGTACTCCAGCTGTAAAAATAAAAGACATTTATAGCCTGTTTAGCCAAGCTTCTAAAAAACTTATTTTGAAAAGTGCTTTGTTTGAAAAGTACTTTTCAAAAAAGTATTTTTGGTGAGAAGCAGTTTGTGTTTGTCTAATAAATCTGAAAATACTTTTAAGCAGCAATTAGTGTTTGGCCAAGCTTTTAAAAAGTGTTTCTAAATTTATTTTTCTCAAAAGTGCTTCCGGGAAGAAGCTACTTCTTCTGCTTCTCAAGAGCATCTGCTTCTACTCAAAAACACTTTTTTTCCTTCCAAAAGCTTGGCCAAACACCTCAACTTTGAAAAAAAAAGGTACTTTTTTGAAGGAAAAAAAAAGTGTTTTGGACTTTGGAGAAACTTGGCCAATCAGGATATTAGCCTTAAGGAAGTGGTTTGGAGTTGCTATTCCATCAAAACATCTACTGTTCCTTTCCTTCCAAACAACCTAAAGAGGCAAATAACCTAAGAAAAAAGAAGGAAGTAGTTGATAGGGGAAGTACTTATAGAATAAGAACCAAAATGATGTAAACTAAGGATCTGTAGCAGCATCCTTTCAACCAAAAGCGATTGAATCTCGATTCAGCCTAGATCCAGAAAACAGATCATTATCAGGATAACACTGTAATTAACTAAGGTATGGAAAATATGACAGGTAAAGTCTATTCTCTTATGTTCCCATGCAACTCCTCAGGTAGGCAGCTGCTTAAGTTTCTATGCTCCTAAATTTGAGAAAGTACGCATTTAGAAGTGGGAGGAAGAAGCGGAAACCACTAACATCACCTAGTCAGATTGACTGGGCTTCTGCCCCCCTAACATTTTAGATAGTATGCAGTTTAGAAAGGGGAAGGAAGCAGCAGAAATCACTAACACACCTAGTAAATTCACCAGGTGCTTCCATTCAACCAGTAGGTCATGCAAAAGGCATACTGCATTATCTGGGAGTATGGGTATTCCGTATTTTGCATCTCTAATGTATGCAATCTTCTGCACGCTATCTTTTTTATCTTTAAACGATATTCCCACTATAAAATCAAATTCTGGATGTCCTTGGTGTGACAACATGCACCTTGAAAGCTATTGGCTCAAGTAAAGCTGCTTCCCTTCTTGCTTACGAATAAAAGCTTCTATTTAGGATTGGGACGCAACTCAAGCATCTATATAATATGTACATTTCTCAAGATAGTCCTGTAAGCATCTTAATCAGTTGGTTTAACCATTATGAGTAGGTTTTTTGTTGTTATAGTCTGTGCCACTGCAAAATGATTAGGCTCGTCTCTCTGGGTCGTTGGGTAGATATTCTCATAAATCTGAGATATAGCCCTTGTTAGATAGTTATGTGTAAATAGTCCTAGTCTCATATGTAGTAGGAGTAAAATATGCCCTATTCCCATATGTAGTAGAGTAGAATATGTATTATATATAGGGCTCATTGTATCATTGTTAATAAAAATAGATTTTTCTCCCGTGTATTCTCACATGGTGTCAGAGCTTCAGTGAGAAATTATCGTTGTGCGTCATTCCGGTGACATCCGGAAGAAAGATCTCATCGCCGTGCAATTTTCTGGCAACTTTGTCTTATTTTGAGGGTTCATCACTGCTACAGTGGTACTGTGCATACCAGTATTACCATCAGATCCAAAACGCTTGTGCGATTAAACTCCAGAAATTCCAGTCCCATCTAAATAGAAAGTCAGCCACCGTGCGTCTTTCCGATTGACGACTCAAGATTGATTTGCGTTATCTCCTCATCGGTAATTGTTGTGCGAAAACCAATACTACCATCTTGTTAGGAAAAGTCAGGCGACAAACCACAGTCAATCAGTCTGGCAGAAAGTCACACGCCTCTACGCACCGCCAGAACTAGGGTTCCGGCGAGCTACAATAAGTTTTCCGGCATGTGTGAGCCATTCCGACCACCTTTTGACAAAACTTCTTCAGGACAACTTACTCGTCCAGTGATTACGAGCCTATCCATATAAATTACATCAAATTCTGACAACTTTTATTTTTTCGATGTGAACAGTAATTTCCAAAAAAGTTTTTGTTTTCTGGTTGTGTTTTAAAACCTATTTTGTAGTGTAGAATTCGGCTTAGTCTCACTATTTTCAAATTTTTCTGGCAACATTTCGGCCAATTCTATTTATCAGCAACCCCCTGATTTTATTGCTGGGGAGTCTATTGGCCTTGTATGTCGAATGACCAGATTGCAGATATTTTCACCGAGTCCTTCACTGGTCCTCGTATTAGTTACATATATAACAAGCTTGGTACATATGATTTGTGTGCACCGGCTATATAGAAAATGGCTCTCAATGACTATCACACAGAGAGTCCATAATTGAGTTAAATATTCACAAGAAAGGAAATACTATACCAAGTCACTCTGAGGTAGTTCAACTGACCAACCAGCCACCTTTATCTTACAAGTTTCGCGGGACGAGTATGGTGATGATAGAGTGATGGAATATGCGGCTCGGTTTTCTTACCTTTACGAGCTTGGAGACACGCTCACAAGCAAAAGCTAGTTGCGTACTTTAGTTACCATAAATACTAACGATGTGGGTGGCACACGATGAATCACGAAAATTGACCCGTGGATCATGGTAATGGGCCATGTGGGACTTAACTAGAGGAAGAGACCCGTGGATTGCGATGATGGACCACGTGAAACTTAGTTTATTGGGGAATTTGATAGAGGTGCGTAAAAGTCCCACATTAATAGCTGAAAAGATTAGGAGCCTACCTAAATTGCTCCTACACGGAAGTTTAGGTGCCGCACCCTTGTCCACACGACACTAGTGTGGATGTGGGTATGGGATCCGTACCGGATCTGGTCAGACGATTTTGAGTAGTTTAATCAGGACAGAAGGAAAAATTCGAGACAAGATACAATTTCCCGAAATTCGAACCAAACTAGGGTAAATTTGAAGAAAATAACATACCTTATCTAGGAAATCAATCATTTACTTATCTACAACTTGAGAATAAAAAATAAATCCACACTTTACAAGCTATACGTAGTTATTCCACAAAATTTCACATAATTTAGAGACTTTTTTATTTTCTTATTTTTTTGAATTATTTTTAATCGGATCCTCGCACCCGTATCCGTACTAGGATTCGTATCCCCAAATCTTAGAATTTACATTTTAAAGGATCTGACCTCTAGATTTGCACCTGTGTCGGGTACTCGCACCCGTGTCCGAGCAACTTAGAAGCCTACATATAAGGTGTATGGATCTTTTAATAGTATGAGGTCTTTTGATGAAAACCGCGCCAGCTTGGCTCAAAGCAGATAATATTACACTCTGTTAAAAGTATCTTCGGGCTAGTTGGAAGAGCGAGTATGCTTACCGAGCTAAGATGACTCACATTCCAAAAGGGACAATATCACACTATGTTAAGAGTATCTTCAAACGAGTTGAGCCCAACAACTGGTATCAGAGCGACGGTGAGAAACATCTGAGACAAAAAAGTCAATCGCCATGTGTCTTTTCGGTGACTTTCAGATCTGATTTGTGTAACCTTCTTTTCCTTCAGGGTTGTGCGAATTCCAACGGCACCACAAGATCCGACATCGTCCGGCGACCAAACCCCAATAAGATTCTTCGAAAACTGATCCTACATGCGACGTTGGCAGCAAGGGTTCCAACGAGCGAGTAACTCCACGCGTCGGGGTGTGAAGTATTTTTTTCGGTAGTTTTGACACAAATTGATCTTCTGTGGTGCTCGTATCATAATTCGGAGTTGACACATCCCACTTCCAACCTTTTTCGGCTACTTTCGAAGCATACAATATACTTTTTGACAACTTTCTTGAGCTCCGACAACCGTTTTTGGATTTTTTGGTACTGTGTGGGTCGATTGAAGCTCCTATTTCTCTCCACTCACGATTCAATATTTTTCGATCACTTTGCACATTTTTGGCGAGCTACATTGTTGTTTTTCAATCTTTGTTCACATTCCAGCGAGATTCTTGGTTGTTTATGATATTTGGTGATTTGTTGTTTGATCTCTCTTGATCCATTATAATGGCACTCGTATCGGATGCTTTTGGCTTATAAGCTGTTGATCCAATACTTTGAATATCCGGATGGTTTCTTTATCGGCTTATATTGAGTTCCATCAGTACAAAACATGTAAATAATCCTCTTCGGAGATAACTTCTATTGTTCAAACAGGTAATAACATGACTTGTGTTTCTTTTTCCGACTCTTAGGTTATTGATTCAGTTGCATCTGATTATATTTCTGGTAACAAATCTCTTTTCACTACTATTTCTTACTCTCAATCACTTCCAACAGTCACAATGGCCAACTATTCTCAAACCATGGCAACTGGAATAGGTTAAGCTAGTCCACTTCCTTCCTTACCTTTGAATTCAGTTCTTTATGTTCCCGATAGTCCTTTTAATCTCATATCCACTAGTCGTTTGGCCAATCACTTATTTGCTCTATTTTATTTCTTGATGACTCTGTTTTAATACAGGAATGCAATGCGGGATGGATCATTGGTACCGGGCGTGAATCAAATGGACTTTAGTACCTTATCCTTGCTAAATCACATGGACTCACATCTTTTCCTCCTTCAACAACTTGTCCTTTTATTTTTTATGAAGTAAATTAGATTCATTAAAAGGCATCAAGAAGATGCAAAGAGTACAAAAGAGATAGGATAATTAGCTCCATTTACAAAAGCCTATGCTACTATCAGGGAGCTAATAAAATCCACAAAACTAAATAAGTTAACTAAACACGCAGCCTTGAGGGAGTAGAGTGGAGTTAATATGTCATCAAAACATCTTCGGTTCCTTTCTTTCCAAATACACCAAAAAAATGCAGCCGGCACCGTTTTCCAGATTTTTTTGATGGATTTGTCAACTCTCCAAAAATACCAACTTTCAAAAGCTTGCTTTGTTGATTGTGGCATAACCCATTTCAGACCAAAGGTAGTGTAGAAGAAGTTCCAAATGTCTTTTGCAACTGAGCAGTGGAGGAATAGGTGGTTTACACTTTCTGACTGTTGTTGGCACATGTAGCATCTATTAACTAGTATGATATTCCTCTTGATTAAGTTGTCTTGAGTGAGACATGCCCCATTTAGAGTCAACCATGTGAAGCAAGTCACCTTGGTAGGCACTTCAGTTCTCCAGATGTGTTTCCATGGCTAGTTATCTATTATTGGATTCTGGTCACAGAGGTGAATGTATCATTCTTTGACTGTGTACTTGCCTCTCTCAGAATTTCCCCAAATAAGTTTGTCAGGCTGTTGATCTTCGATATTATGACCTTCTAGGGAGCTTAACATTGTGAGTAGGCTGTTGACCTCCCAATCCTGCAAATTTCTTCTGAAAATGGGCACCAAGTGCCATTGTCTCTATTTTGAGCAACAGTGGAGTCTTTGGTCAAGGCAATCTGATACATACCGGGAAACATGTCTTTCAAAGGTGTATTTCCGAGCCATCTATCCTTCCAAAACTTAATACGAGTTCCATTCCCAACTTTGAAAGTTACATTTTGGAAGAATTCATCCCAGTGGTTGCTGATGTTCTTCCACAGACCAACTCCATAAGGAGTGTTTGTTTTCTTGGAACACCAGTGATTGTGTGCTCCATATTTAGCAACTATGATGTCCTTCCATAGCCTAGATTCCTCCTGTCCATATCTCCAGAGCCATTTTAAGAGCATAGCTTTGTTGTGTGCTTGTAGATCCCTGATGCTCAAGCCTCCTTTGAATTTTGGTTGAGTTACCTTGAGTCATTTCACTAGTGGAAATTTGTGTGTTTTGCTGCATCCTTCCCGTAAGAACTTCCTTCTGAGTTTGTCCATCTGCTTTAGGACTGAGATTGGAATTGGGAACAAAGACATGTGGTATGTAGGAAGACTGTCCAGTACACTATTGATTAAAGTTAACTTGCCACCGATGGAGAGGTATTGCATTCGCCAAGTCGCAAGCCTCTTTTCAAACTTCTCTAGGACTCCATTCCAAACTTCTTTTGATTTGAATTTAGCTCCCAAGGGAAGTCCAAGATATGTTGGGAAAGTATCTGTTTTGCAGCATAGGATGTCTGCTAGCTCCTGTATGTTGGGGACTGCATTCACAGGGTATATGATGCTCTTTATCATATTGTTGTGGAGTCCTGATAGTGCCTCGAAGATCATCAGCGTCAGGTTGAGATTTCGTGCTTGTGATCTCTCAGTACCACAAAAAATAAGAGTATCATCCGCAAAGAGTAGATGGGATACTGTAACTGAGCTGGCAGGATTCCTTCCCACCTGAAAGCCTTGTATCCATTGTAGTTGCTTAGCCTTCTCCAACATTTTAGTGAGTCCTTCCATCGCCAAAATGAATAGGAAAGGGGAGAGGAGATCCCCTGCCTTAGGCCCTTTTGGCAGGAGAAAAAACCGGTCGGGCCACTATTCACCAAAACAGAGTTCTTGACAGTTGAAATGCAATAGTTTATCCATCTTATCCATTTCTCCCCAAAGCCATCTGCCTCAAGATACTCATGAGGTAAGACCATCTTAATTGATCAAAAGCCTTTTCAATGTCCAGTTTGCACAACACGCCTGGTTTTCCACTTTTCATTCTCCAATCCAGCACTTCACTGGCAATCAAGGAAGCATCAGTGATGTGCCTGTTCTTGATGAAAGCATTTTGTTCCCCCGAGACTAGTTTGTCAATAGATCTGTAGTCTCTGAGCTCCATAGCACCCTTTTTCTTTGGAATTAAGGCGATGAAGGTGGCATTGCAAGCCCTAACCATGTGACAGCTCTGGTGAAAGTGATTAAGTGCGGCCATGATGTCCATTTTAAGAGTATCCCAATTTTTCTGAAAGAAAGCCATGGTGAAGCCGTCTGGACCTGGTGCTTTATCAGGGGCACATGATTTCAAAGCTTCAAGCACCTCTATTTCTTCAAATGGAGCTTCCAACTAGTTCTTCTCTTCTATGCTTAGTGAGGAGATGCCTTCAAAATTTGCACTGGGCCTCCACGGTTCATTTTCACTATATAAGTTCTGGTAGAATTCCAGAATCTCCTTCTTGATCAACTCTTTGTCCTCATTTCATCACATATCCTGAGCCTGTTAATGTAGTTGCTTCTTCTGTTGTAGTTTGCCATCTTCTGGAAATATTTGGTATTTTTGTCCCCTTACAGCTTGTCCTTTTACTGATCCACCAGATTTATTACATAAACGGTTAGGACATCCCAATTTATCAGAACTTCAGAAAATGGTACCTGGTTTGTCTCACTTGTCCACTCTAGAGCGTCAGTCATATCCGCTCAGAAGGCATACTCGCTCTCATTTTCCTCGGTGTCTTGATAATCGAATAGAGTCACCTTTCACTTTAGTCCATTCAGATGTTTGAGGTCCTTGTCGAGTTAGTTCTACCTTGGAATTCTGCTACTTTGTCAGTTTCATTGATGATTATTCCAAGTCCACTTGGATATTTCTCATGAAAAATCAATCTGAGTTGGTCTCTATTTTTCAGACCTTTCACTCTGAAATCCAAAATCAATTTGGGGTTTCTAACCGCACATTTCATAGTGATAATGCCCCAGAGTATTTGTCTTCTCCATTTCAGCAGTTCATGAACTCTCATAGGATCATACATCAAATATTTTGTCCATACACATCTCAATAAAATGGGATAGCTGAAAGGAAGAATAGGTATCTCATTGAGACTGCTCATACCCAACTCGTACAATCTCATGTTCTGTTGTGTTTACGTGGGGATACAGTTCTCACATCCTATTGTCTTATTAATTGTATGCCATCTTCAACTATCAAGAATCAAGTTTCATACTCTGTCTTGTTTCCCCACTCACCTTTCTCTCTTCCACCTCGTGTCTATGGGAGCATGTGTTTTTTTATAACCTTACTCCAGAAAAGATAAGTTAGCTCCCCGTGCTCTCAAATATGTATTTCTAAGTTACTCGAGGACGCAACAAGGATATCAATGTTATTCACCTGACTTTCCGCGGTACCTTATGTCTGCTGATGTTACCTTCTTTAAAACGCAACCATACTTCATAGGTCCAAATGATCTCTTAGACATTTTTTGAGGTATTACCGGTTTCATATTTTGGAGATTCAGTCACTATCTCTCCTTCACCTTCCTCTATAGCTCCACCCCCTACAACTTCGATTATGTCACCTACAGCTCCAGTTCCATGTTCTGCAACTCCACCACTCTTGACTTATCATTGACGTCAGTCCAACATCATGTCCAGAAGATTCATTCCATGTACTGGATCTTTTACCTATTGCGGACTTGTCTCCTCCTAGTCTACCAATCACATTCCGCAAAGATATTCAATCCACTCTTAATTCCCATCCCCATCATATTGATTTGAGTTATCATCGTTTATCATCACAGCATTATGCTTTTGTGTCATCTTAGTCCTCAATTTCTATCCCTATGTCCACAAGGACAGGCTATGATCAAAGAGATGTCTGCTTTACATATTAGTGGTACTTGGGAGCTTATTTCTCTACCTCCCCGTAAATCTATCGGTGGGTATATGTAGGCAAAGTTGGTCCATATAATCAAATTGATCGCCATTGCCAAAGGTTATACTCAGATATTTGGGTTTGATTACAATATTACTTTCTCCCTCGTGGCTAGAATAGCATATGCCCTCCTTCTATATTAAGAAGGCCTTGCTTGTCGGTTGCGCTGGTCACTTTCCAGGAGCTATGTTATTGAACAAAACATGTGCTCCCAAAGACTCGAGGGAAAGAGAGTATAAAGGTAAGCGAGGAAACAATATCGAAAGTTGAATCTGATTTTGGATAGCAGATGAGGCATCCAATTAATCTAATCAAAGGACGTGAAACTGCATCGCCCAAGAAACTAAGCTTGACAGGGGACTGAATGAGAAGGGTACGAGCCGTCTCAATGATATGCTTATTCTTCCTCTCATCTATCTCAGTTGAGATTTCTGATAGAGAGTTTCTAAAGAAATCATAAGCTACTGAAACCGAGAAGAAAATATTCTAAGGCATTATCATTGGGAAAAATGCAAATAGAGACATCAAACTAATTTTGTATTGCAGCACAAAAACTTAGGAACACAAAAAACAACTGAGAACTATCTCTTGTTAAGAAAATCCAAGTACATCTTGAATAATTATCAATGAAACAACAAAAATAATGAAAATCCAAGGTTGAACTGTCTTAATAGGACCCCATATATCAAAATAAACTGAGGAGAAAACAGACTCTATAGAAACATGGAGTGATATGTTTCTCAAGTAGACACGACTCATACTGTAATGTAAAAAAATTAGAAACCTTTTCACGAAGTTTGGATAAACTTGAATGTCCTAAACCTATGTGAATTAAGTCTACAGGATCAATAACTAGACAGGCCGTGGAGGAGTTAAAGGACCTTGAATTTCAGAAGAATAGAAGAGAGGAAAGAAGTAGATTTGGGTGCTATATTCTCTTGCTCTCCTGTTATTACTTTTCAATAATAAAAAACTCACTTATCCAGATATGTAATGCTACTTCTAACAAAAGACAAATTCATACCAGGCCATATGCTTGTGGGGATGCAACTTCCAAGATGGAAAGATGAAAGATTGGATCAGCATGAGAGATAATGTAGCTAACAATTTTCCCATATGCAGTTCCAGTAGCAGCACCGATGAATAGAGATGGTGCATAGTAGCCTCCAACCAATCCAGAGGCTCGACATAATGAAGTTGTTACTATTTTGACAGCTACAAGCTGGAGCAACAGATCAGCGGAGAGGCCTTTCACTAGTGGGCGAGATTCTAGCAAAATATTAACATTCTCAAAACCCTGGTAAAGGATTTCAGGATATGCTAAAGCTACCAGCCCAACCAGAAGACCACCCAGGACAGGAAAAGCTGCTTTTGGCATGCCGCTGGTCGTTTGAATATTTTCCACTATTTGCAGCATAAATGATGTACAACTTGATAATGCCACTGAAACTAAGCCACAAAAGATGCCCAGCAGAAGATAAAGCGGCAGCTCTGAAATGGAAACCAAAAATTAACTCAATATTACATACCAAAAAGAGTTCAAAACACATTTGTACTTACCACATTAAGTAATAGCAATGACAAAAACGTGATTCTAAGAGTAATATCACGTGGAGGAAGACTGCATAATCCCTAATTGAAAAAAAGGACAATAATAAAATAAAAAAATGTTCATCTCCCTTTTGTAAGGTATGGTAACGTTGTATGCAAAATATATTCCTCTTTTGAACCGGTAATCTGAAAATTTGTTAGATAAATAATTCTAGACGATACAAATTAGAAAGAATTTATACCTTGATTAACCTTCCTAATCACTCAAAATAAGAGGAACATCATGTTAATGATAAATCCTGAGACTAGTTTATTTTGTTCTGGGAACATTCAGGCTATATTGGAGAATTAACATTCTTTGTATTTATCAGTTATTTACTTCATTTCATTGTAGATCGCCTCACTTTGATTTTATGCTAAATTAGAGCACTGACTTATAAGACGGTAGGGTTGTAAGAGAATGTTACACTTGTTCCCTTATTGGTTGTGTAAGGTTTTCAACAGCAATTTAAATGGTCCTGGGCTACTCTACTCATTGCCTTAAGGTTTTGAGTTGGATGCTCAGAGCCAAACTTCAGGGAGCCTGTTAGCACAACCGCTTTCTCTCTTCATATTCTATCGCTTTGGACTTCTCTTTCTTAACTCATGTAACTGCTCTGGGCTTCTCTCTCTCTCTCTCTCTCCTAACATTGTCGTAGCATGTAAGTCCAATCATTAGCCCGTTGAGCCGAATTAATTGTTGAGCCTCCTCACTCTCTACTTCAAAAAGAACAAAAACAAAAAAAGGCAATAAGGTCAAATCAGATCCACATCTAAACCCTAAAATCTGGGTTATACGTGTGGGAGGGAGTTAGAAATGCTATACTTGTCATTCATTGGTTGTGTAAGGGTCTCCAAAGGAATTCAAATGGACCTAGCTATTCTATCAGAAGTGTTATTGAAGTTTTCACGAAAAAGAAAAAACAAAAAAAGAAACATGTTCTCATTCCGATCTTCTTTTTGGTTCATTTTATGTACAAAAATTCTAGAACTCCTAAACTATTACTCCTGATCAGTAAGTGATTAATGTTCTTTATTCATCGGAACGGCACCACAAAAGTGTTGGATGTTCACATGTACATATCAGTGCCTGTCAATTTAAAAAGCAAGGAGCTGAGAAATTATAGTCAGCTGCCTATGTCATTTACGTTCAGCATCTCTCACCAAAGAGCCAAAAAAATACAAACATTTGAATCTAAGCCTATGAACATGTTCTACCTTCCCTTCAAAACATTAAATAATTTACCCACCAAATAACCTACAAGATGCATGCAGAAATTGTGAACCACAGTCTTCTATTCTCCCTGTTGAGTTTTCTGTCGTACCAGCTCAGAAGCTTTGTCTGATGCTATTCACAAAAACAACCACTCTGCTTTTCCAACTAAGTTCCCAAATCTAAATTGTGTACCGAGATAAGAAAGACGATAGCAACTTGTAACAAGCCTAACAAAGTAGTGCTCATCTTTCTGTTGTTTTATCTATCAGAATCCGGTGTCTCCTGGATGATATTGAACCCTTGAAGCTTCATTTGCAACTGAATCAACCACTCTATCTCTTAATCCTCAAAATTCCTTCCGAAGAAGATGATGTCCCACCTTAGTTTGTCGTATGTTGTGCAACTGCATCGTCAGTTTAGAGCAAAACTATATAAATCTGGGCACTCAATTTTCAATGGGCTATGACCCACCGAAAAGCTGAGTGTTAGATGCCAATTCTTCCAATAAGTTCCTGCTTCCCTTCAGGACACTTTCACCATCAGGGGTATTCACTGGACATGAGCACCATTGACAGGAAGATTCAAATTTTGCTACAACCATATGCTGTGCAGATATTTAAAGTTTTGGGCACATTTCCGTGATCATTTAAATAAGATGCTCCTTTTCTGTATTTGCAGCTATTTCATACCCAAGCCTCCACTTCCTAGATTATATGACTTAACTCCACTTGACCAAAGGAAAGGAGGTTCCTTCCTTGAAACAGTTCCATAGGAAACCTTTTCTTAATTTGACAAGTCTCTTTACAACCTTAATGGCAAGAGGGTAAAGAGACATTAGTATGTATGGAGATTGTCAAGTACATTGTTAATGAGAGTAATCCTGCCACCAAAAGAAATCTTTCAGTAGCAATATCAAGATCAATATTGGCAATGGGTTGCAGACATCTTTTTGGGAAGATCACCGGATAGGGCAAGGAAGGTTGAAAGATATTTTCCTGACTTATTCTCTCTAAGTCTTCAAAGCCAAGCATTGGTAAGTCAGTCTGGAGCTCACAAGGATGGAGCTGGAACTTTAGAAGATCTTTGGATGATTGGGAGATAAACAGAGTTTCTATCTTCCTCCAAACTCTTGAACCTTTCAAGGGTACATCACAGACCATAGATAAAGTAGTTTAAAAGCTGAATAGAAAAGGTGCATTTTCAGTAAAAGAGCATACTGGACTCTACATCCTAATGTTTCAACAACTGAGGTGTGGCCTTGGAAACACATTTGGAGGGTTAAAACTCCTCCCAAAGTATCATGTTTTGTCTGGTTGGTGGTGAAAAAGGCATGTTTAACACATGATAACTTACAAAGAAGAGGTTTCCAGATTTGCTCAAGATGTTTTCTTTGTGGACAGGAAGTAGAAAGTAATGCTCACTTGTTCCTACATTGCAGAATCACTACAAATCCGTGGCACATCTTCTTTTATCTGTTGGGAGTTAATTGGGTCATATCTAGAACCACATTGGAACTTCTAATCAATTGGAAGGGAATTGGTAGAAGAAATGGATAAAGACAAATGGAAAATCATCCCAGCTTGTATATGGTGGATTGCATGGAACGGAAGGAACTCCAGATGTTTTGAAGGAAAAAGAAACTCCATTCAGAAGATTAAGATGGATTGTCTTTCCTTGTTTTATTTTTTTGGTGTAAACAAGAAATGTTTAGTGAGATAGGACACCTGATAGATTTTATAGGCAGCTTGTAATTTACCTTACATCAGGTGCTTGTCTTTTGCTCTTTTGGAGTTGTACGTACAGCTATTAGCACTAATGACCAACCTGGCGCTGATCTTATTATCAATACAAACTGTTACCTTTCTCCAAAAAAGATTAGTCATACGATGAACCTTTGTAAGAGTGATGGAGCATTGACTTGGATAAACTACAAGGATGACATAGAACCAAATTGGATTTATACTTGGTAGATTTGTCACAGAGGTTATATTTTCACTAAGAAAATTGACAAAAAGTTACCACTCTAAAGAGTAACTTTTTACTTAGAACCAAACTAGCTATGGTGCCAACAAAAGCTTGAATTAGGGATAACCACTCTAAAGAGTAAGGCTTAAGGATAAGTATAACTGTATAAGTAAGACATAATATTGGAAGGAAGTTGTCCCAAAAGATCAATATAGAACACAATTAAAGCTAAGGGTCCTTATATAAGATACCAGCTATTTCAGATTAAAGTTTATTCATGGTGGTACATTTGCATTAGGCCAGTGTCTCTAGGAGTCTTCTTTAATCTATTTAGAGATTTGTACGTCAAAGTAGAAAATATAAAGAACCTTGATATTATAGAATCCCAAAGTACTCAATATTCGAAAGAAATGGGACTAAATGAATTGAAATGGATAGTGATGATCTGTGTAGCCAACCCCAACTAGCTGTTGAAATGTAGTTGTTGCTGTAAGTGACGGGTACAATTGTATTTAAGAATCAAACTCGAGAAAGAAGTCCAAAATTACCAGTAGGTGTACGAAAATCATATCCTGGGACCGCAAATGCAGGTTCAGAGCCAAGACCAATTTCTGAGACTACAGAAGCTATAACAGCACTGAGAATAACCATTGAAGTCGTATTTGTTAAGGACAAGGAGGACTCTGCAGGTGATGGCCATAACACAGATTCCACAGCAAAGAAACAGCCCCCGACAGCAGCATTAAATCCTTTAAAGTAGAAAACAAGGAGAGTTTAAAGTGACACAAACAGTATAACCATGGAGAGAAAATGACTGACAAGATATAACAGGAAAATGTTAGCAGAACAAGAAGTAAATTTCCAGAAAATGAATTCCTGTAAGGCAGCAGATGCTGAAAGCAGAAAAAACAAGAAAATGCTCATTGAACATCCCCGTATTAAGTCAAAACAAACCATAGTACAGGAACTATAGTACATTAGCTTATTAGCAAATAAGAATGACAAGAAATAGGTCACAACAACTTGTTAAAAAAAACAAATAGTTCTGTTTTATCACTCTTGCTTTTCTCCTGCAAAGTTTCCTAAGATGAAATTGCATTACGTGACATTCTCTTCTTCTTTTTTTTGGATAAGCAAACTCGAAGAAGTGCCATTGTTTTTTCTCTTTTCCAGCAATGGCCACAAAAACGCTGAATTAAGTTCATAAATCTTTACCATTTAAAGGATTTTTAATCTTCCAACAAACAGAAAAAACCTTTGGTATTTTTCTTCCTCAAAAAGAATTGTTTGAGATCTGATTCCACAAATCATCCTTTAGGACTCGACAATTGTAAAGCATTTCATTAGTTTTGAAGCACCAGCTGGGTACATCCTTCTATTATGGCAGAACAATGGCAAACATTTTTTAAAGGTATAATAAATCTAGTGAGGCAATGCAAGAAGCATTAGCTAAGACAAGGACAGAATGGTCATCTGCCACCAAGATGCCATTCCTGGGGAACCCCCGCTCACCAAGTTCAAGTTCTCACAACGCAAAAGGAAAAGTGATGTGGTCATGTAGGCATAGAGAATACTGTAGAACATTCAAGAAATGTTCTACTAATTGAGGTACTTCTTCATCAGGTGACTCTGCAAACATGGCAAAGTTGTCATTGTATTTGCAACTAGTTGATGACCAGTCTATTCTATCAAGTAGATAGAACTAAATGGTCCATTTAATGTAAGGTACTACTCAAACTAGCATTATTCAGTCAAAGGAAGTGAATTTCCCTTGACGAGTCGAACTATGTACAATAAGGAAACTCGGCAAAGAAGTGGAATCTGGATTCGGAGCCAATTCGAGTAATGTATGGGACATCATATCTCTTAGTAAATAGAGTAGTCTACTAACAAATGAACTGCCCACCTTTTTCAGCCTCTTCTTGTCTCTTAACCTCTATTTAACACTCCACATAAAACCATATGAAAGGATTAGTGTCAGCGATAAAATTGCAGGAACAAAACCATATGAAGCCAATCCATGTCAACAATAAAATTGCAGGAACATATGAACCCATAAGCAGTTGCTTATGTTTCTGCATCAGAAGTCACCAGTTGAATTTGTGAATAAATTTCTCAGGATATGTTAGAAATTAAAATTTGATTTATTAAACTTCAAGTACTTCACCAAAAAAGGACCTGGCAGAAATTTGGAAATTAGGAAGCCTAGGTAACTTCTAAAGAACTAGTTCAACCCTGAAAATAAGGACAAGACTATACCTCTACAGAATGTGTGCCCCTTCCTGGACTCTCATAAAGACTCTGCAAATGCCTTGTACTGAGGCTCTCCGGGAATCACTCTAAACATGTTGGGTTAGATACTGGAAATATTGACAAAACTAAAAAGCAGGCTCAACCAAATAATTCCAGGTTTTTTTACATAATTCCAGTTTCCAACTCGCGACTCAAGCTTAAGAATACTCTACATAAAGTAATTTGGAGTTTTTCTTGTCTAGCTATCCAACTTATGAGACAAGCTTTTGCTAATTCAACTTGAAGGGAGACAAAAGCCAGCTAGCAAACTATCCGCATCTCTACACTCTTTTTTTTAGAAGGTAACATATCCATATCTCAACACTCTACTACTACATAATTGGAAGAGACCTCAAGTGAAATAAGTCAATAACTACATGGTTATCCTAAATGTCATTTGTCACTAAAGACAAAAGTAACCACAGGCATTATAGAATTTACAATAACGATTGGTTATATCGGATGAAATAGAAAGATAGAGAACAAATAATGCACGTATGAGAAGGTTGACAAACCGTGTGCCCATATATGTGAAATAACATTTTAGGATTAGTCACCTTTCCGTTTGTTGAGCTTTTGATACAATGTGAAAACTTCACTAGTAAAATGTTAGGTCCATATGTTGCTGGGTAAGTGATACGCTTCTCACCTAACGGAGACTACATCAATATACATTCACTTTTCTTATCTAAACTTCAATTGAGTATTTTTCTTTAGATAGTTGCATAATATGACACTTTGAGTCCATTTTTCATTTTCCGCTCAAGGAATTTGGGAAATTTAACTTCTCCCATAGAGTAAGCTTGGACAAAATTAGTAGCTTGTGGGAGCCAAGTTGGCTGGCTCAACTTTATTGACAGCAAACGTCTGAAAAAGGAACTGGGGAAACAAAGCTTCAGAAATATATCATAGTACTTGGCAGAATGCAGGCACTGGAAATTAATAAGCTACTTATAGCTGATTGCAGTTCCTCTCAAACCGATAAGGATTGCAGTTCCTCTCAAAGTCAAGAAGTAAGCTGCTTTATTTTTGGGCACCCGGTGTCATTTCAGTGGTATCTTTGGTGGG